ATATATATATATATATATAAAAGAATAAAAATTAAATTGTAAGTGTGTGAGAGTGCGTGTGATGATTGAGTGCATGTGGTGTGTGTGGAAGTGCGTGTGATGTGTGCGAAAGTGCATGTGATGTGTGTGTAATTGTTTGTGATGTGTGTGAAAGTGCAAGTGATATGCGAAGTGCTTGTAAATGTGGATACATATTAGAGTGAATGTGCGACCTGCGTAGGTTTATATGTATGATTAATTTTACGAGTTCATAAACGGTGGACGTGTTTGGTGAGATGAGAAAAAATATAAGAGTTCGAACATTGACTGTTAAACTTTACTTTTATTCTAACATTATTATTTTGTTTGACTCTGCAACTTAGATATTTATAGCATCAAAAATTACTAGTGAAATAAAAAATGACAAAACGCACCGATTACAATTAGGCACCAGATAGCCCTGCGTTCAAAAATAACTTGGGATCGGATTTAGCAACAAAAACTGCCATCCACTATTCTGGAAACCTATGCATATATTATATCACGTCAACTAAGAAATTACATCAAATAGATTTTCAGTATCTTCATAATTCAGGTTTAAGAGCCAATTAGTTACTATTTTTTTACAATTGTATCTATTTAATGCATATATTTTATTTACTGCGTTGCATTTGTTATATAGGTACTTAGAAAAACAAAAATCTTTTGGCAAATGATGTTTTAAATATCTTATTTGCACAGACAAGGTCATGTCTTCTCTTATTTTGTTTTTTAAGTATAGTACTTGCGATGAATAACTGGCGTACTGACAGAACTTTATATTCTTCATAGAGTTTAGACGTTGAGAATAAGTAGGTCCGGAATGTTGAGACCTTTAAAATTGTTCGTTGGGCGACTTCTAGCTTTTTTATAATTGTTTTATGAGCGCATAAAATATAAAAAGAAGTTAAGCATTTGATTTTATTTATTAATTATACACGTAAGCTTACATAAAATATTAAGGAAAGAAGTAAGTATGAATCACTTTTTCAACCGACTTGAAAAAAAGAAGGAGGTTATACGTTCGGCTGTATGTATGTTTTCAGATATCTCGGTCATTTGAATTTGACCGATTTGGACCGATTTGAAAAAATTCTTTTTTTGTTTGAAAGGATGCTCTCTCGTGGTGGTCCCATTGTCACTAAGTCAGAATCTGATGAGGGGATCCCAAGAAAATCTACAAA